CTCAAATATGGCCACATCTGCTTATAACAGTTGTGGGTCCATGCCTGATTTGAGAACAGAATTTCCATGTCACCTCAATTTGCCTATGCTTTGGTCAGAAACTCATGCCTTCCCTCTCCGAGTAGAATGAAAGGAGTGGGGGGAAACCCCAACCCCAGCTATTTCCTGCTACTCGTATTGCTAATTCAACGTTCCTTGCAGTACCATCTCTCTTATCCAGTTTATGATGTTTAACGCATAAGATGAATACACACGCAGCTTCCATAGTCAAAAGGGAACTGTGATACCGCTACAAAAAGCTTCTTGCAGCAGCCCTATTTTTGTACAGATCTGGATAGTTCAAAATAAGGATCAGGCTTAAAGCCAAAGTTGGAAATGCCAAGAAGCTCAGATTTGCCCTTCATAAATTCTCCTTTCCAAAGATTTGTTTCTTTTGGCAGAAAGCCATATAACAGAGAACATGGGTCTTTCTGAAATATTTTCTTTGTTCAATTAAGATGAGAACAGAAAGGCAGAAGACTGAAGGATTAAGAAGAGGGCATGACTATAGTAGAGTTGTATAAAAGATTAAATCCCTATAGGTATCAGAGCACCTATTAAGGCTTGAGTTAGCTGTTCTATTTTTAAGCCTTCTGTTCTGCAACAGGAAGCTATCATTAAAGTTTCCCTTTGCAGAATGCTTTCACAGCAAATTATTGTAACATTTCCGAAATTATACTCATTCAGTTTCTTGCAGTGGTAGAAAAGGGGAGACCACAAACACACACACAAATGAGTTTTATAATTCAAACTGGCAATCTTGAGTATGGGTCTGCTTGTAACCCCAAAGTAATTTGGGACAGTCTTTGACTGAGGCTAACCATAGAAAAAATTATAATATCGAATATATGCAAGTCGGCATTTATGGGAAGAGGCAATGAAACATTATCATTCAGAAGAATGACTAGTGTTGCATCCAACTGGCCAAGAACATTTTAAAGGGATGTGAGACAGCACCCAAATCAGGGCATGTAGCTTTTAGAAGAATCTGAAGCAGACAAAATGTGATCTCATCTGTTCCTAGTTTTCTAATCTATTTCTAGTTTATCTATTTGATATTGTTTATGTCTTTACTGATTGTAAAGCATTTTGAATTCTTCTCTGAAGACAAGTTGAATAATAGGGCCTTAATATATAGTGGATGGTGTGTCATGAACAAATGCTCACGTTTCAATATCCATTCCACCTGTTTTTAGACTGTAATCTGCATAAACAATTACTTGCCCTTTATGTTCTACCATCATGTCCAAGAGAAAACATTCAGCTTTTTTCTTGGCACTCTAGAAACTACTGCTGTGTTAGCACCTCATTAGCCTTTCTAAATTATTTGTTATTTTCTTGTCTTTTAGAAATGCAGGATTCACTTGAGTCACCAAGAAGCAGACAGACATGCTGAAATTCTTACATACTGTCCTGTTCACCTCCAACCTCTTCTTTCAGGTCAGCTTCCTCACATCAGTTCACTTTAAGATATGATGATTTGATAATCCTTGGTCTTTGTTAAAATATATTCTGATGTTAGTGGAAACCAGGCTGACATGCACACTGTTTGAATCACTTATTTCCACACATTATTGCAATCTAATACATCTGATACCTGCAAGGTTACTGCTTTCCCTAGGTATGTTTCAGAGTTTGGGCCAACAGTGAGCAAGTTCTATTTTTGCTGCTCTTCAACCAGCCAGTGCACAGAAATGGAAGCTGCACCGTGAATCTTTTAAATCGCTCCCTGAAGCAGCTGTTTCCACACAGCTTCATATGCAGAGGTCAAACAGTTTCCCCCATACCACTACCAGTACATGCACTGTCAACTTTTTTGCTTTTCTAAAAAGATTTAACCTCTCCATTAACTCCTAGAACTGAATGCAGATATTATGTGATTTTTGATGGGAAATACGTACAATACTGTGCTTGCAATGTGCACATTTGAAAGCTGCACAAAGAAAACCATGTGCATTTTTAAAATGTGCAAAGATATGTTTTACCAAATGACTTCACACTTATAGCACAAAAATAGATATACAAATTTCTATGCACAAAAATAGCTTATGGAACCTGGAAAGAACAAGCTTGGTGAAGATAAACAAGAACTTCAATGGAATAGAGCATTTCAGAACTACCCATCCCTAATACAAACTTTTGAGGTTTGTAGAAAAATGGAGAAAAAGTGCCAATTTGTGCTATGTGTACAAAAATGAGTTCCTGCATGGACAAAACCATGCTGGGATGTACTTACATAAAGACAAACACAGAAACAGAGGAAAAAATTTAAAATGATTGTACTTGGAAACTATTTCACCTGGACAGATATTCTTTTGAGAGGAAGACCTTGTATTTGTTTACAGATTCAAAACTGTGCTTTCTGCCTCTGTCTCTCTCTGACACACACACTTTGTACCTATCAGTGCAGTATAAAATAACAGCATTATACTTCTTGAAGCTGAAGTGAGATAAAGGTAGAACTAGCCCTTGCAATTATTTAGCTCTGTGTCCTAATTACCTTCTGTGACAGAAGAGGGTGGATACAGGAAAAGTTTTCCACATGTTTAATTTATGTCTATGTATCATATTATGGAACATCATTGTGTGACCTGATCCTACTTCGAAATACTGAGGGCAGAGGCATGCCTTTTGGGAAATGATCTAATTAAGGCTCCTAAGCAAAACGCAATAGCTGAAAAACCTCTGTCTTCCAAACCACAGGAGGATTCACTTTAAAAATACTTTCCCTTCAGTCAGCAGTCTCTTCATACCATCTCCACTCTCCTGTTTTCCTTTTGCTCAAACAACCTCTTCAGGACAAAGTCATTCTGTGCTTCAGAGCTGAGCATTCTTCAAAGATGATCTAATGTTAATGTTTTAGAGCAGTTTCACATCAGACAAATCATATTGTTTATTGTTTACTACAATACTAGTTTTCCCTTCATTGGTATTCTTGCAAGAGTGAGTCTTTTTAACAGATAAGTCTCCAAATGACAGTAAATCAGTACCCTCAAGCCTAAGATATATACCATGGATGTGACGTCCATTTGTAAGGAATTGTGCAAGAACCAAAACGTGGCCTACAATTTTCAAGATGGTCATAAAGACTTAAAGGGATTTATTTATTTATTTATGGATATATATATATATATATATATATATATATCCTGTTTTTTTTCCTTCAAAGGGCTCAAGGCAGCTTACATTATTCTCCTCCTCCATCTTATCCCCACAACAACCCTGTGAAGTAGGTTGGGCTGAGAGTCTGTGACTGGCCCAAAGTCACCCAGTTGGCTCCACAGCTGAGCGGGGACTAGAACCCAGATTGTCTGAGTCCCAGTCCCAGGCTCTTAACCACTACGCCACACTGGCTCTCCATACCACACTGGCTCTCCGACTTCTTTAGAAGTCCGATGCCTCTCTTGTTTCCCTTTATGTCTATCTCAGCTTTGGCATGTGAACAGTACAAAGCAGTTAAACAGGAGCATCAAATGTTTTCTAGGGAGGTTTTCAGCTTCTGCAAATATCCCTGGTAAGATGTTATACAAATTCAGGAAAGAAGAATTTCCTGCAAAGATCTGGTTTCTGTGTAAGAAATAGCATATGCATGAGAGACCCTAACTAGTGCTCCTTTCCTATGGCATTTATATGTAGTAAAATCACTGGCATGTTTTTGCAACCTACATGAGTGTACTTGCAGATCTTAAAAAGTATATCCTATAAAAAATGATATAGGTTTGTGCCACCTTGTATAAAATGATCACTAACCTAAGTATTTAACCTCAAATTCTAGGACAAACATGAAGACATTAAAATCTTTGAAAAGACAGATTCCAAGCTAATGCACATGATGATAGTCTAAAATATATCCAGACTTTATTGTTGAGCATAGCAACTGGCAGCTTCAATTTGCAGTGATACGGGTATCTGGACCTATTTTGAAATCTGGGTAAGATTGCTGAATTCCAAAGTATACTTAGGAAGCTGGCACACATCCTCTGACCCTAATCAGCTCCAAGCTAATATAAACTGTTAGGGGTTCAAGCAGACCAACCTTCCTTTTAAAAAAATGATGCTTCAACATTGTTTGCTTTGCTACCCTCAACCAAAAACAAACTCAACTACCCTTAATTCTGGAGAAACTTTTAGATTTTCTGTGGGTACTTCTTTTAGATTAGCATTCTAACAGTATCCAGATTCTAGACTTTCATCATGCTCCATGGTCAGGAATGTTGAGACTTGCAGTCCAACCATATCTTAAGAACAAGTTATTAGGAAAGGCTGCTTTAGACCCTTTCCATTTCTCCCCCTATGTGCAGTGTGGATAAAACAGGCAATGCTTGTGACGCAGCTTTGTAAACCACATGATAATGTCTCTGTCCACCTCACCTGCAAAACCCCACTTCAAAAAGCACAACTGCAATCAACAAATGATTTAGAGGCCTTCCTTCTTCAGCCTAAGCATCCACATGTTCCATTTTCCTGGAGTTTCAAAGTGACACTAACTAGCACAGCTCAAATAAGCCCTACTTTTGAAAATATACCAGGATTCATAGTGCTTTTGGAAGAAACTGTAGAATTTTTTTAAACCTCCATTTGTAAAATGGAATTTAAAACCACCCAACATGCAGAATGATCAGAATAGCTTTTGTTCACCATTCTTTTCCCATCAACCCAAGAACCTTCAAAAGTGATACTATTACATGTATTAAGAGCAGTTTCTTGTAAGAGTAACAAGAGTAGTGAAAGTGCATGCTGTTTGCAGAGATATTTTTTGCTATTAGCTCCCAACCTGATATGCTCTGCAACTAACATCAAAATATTATCCAACTCTCTGCCCCCAATCTTGTTTCTATTTTAAAAGAAACAAAACATGATCAATTGGGTCATACCATTCCTAGCAATGACAAATCTGCAAGAGAAGCAGCAGCAAAAAGCATATGCAACTTTCAAGAGCCCATTCTCAGAAAGCCATTCACCTCGACTCTGCTGCCTGTTGACCATCCCTCCCAGTGTCCATCGCCGGTCCAGGCGCCTCAGGTGAGCCTTGCGTCTCTTAGAAACTATTTTGGAAAATGCATGAACACATAAAAGAAGAAAAGAAAAAAAAAGAGTGATGGATGAACGGACAACAAAAAATCCAACAAAAACATGATAATTGAAGGATTGAACTTATGTTAGCAAGGATGAGATGTAGTAATACTATGAAATTAGTTTGCCAGTTGTAATAATTAATTTTCTAGTCAAGGCCCAAGCATTTAGTAGACAGCAATCATACTAAATAAGTGTATCAAATTGCTAGTATCCAGCCATTTGAGAAACATCAGAGGCCATAAAAATAATGGCCACTGAAAATAAATTGATGCTGTTGAACAGAGTACAGTCTTGTTGGACTGGAAGCATCTTTCTGTGACATCTTAGTGGCCTAATACAATTCAGGGTGATGCCAAGGTTGCAGGATGAATCCACAGAAACAGAGAAGTCCACATCTAAACCATGCAATGCAAAAGCTTTAAAAGAGGCTTCTACATGCCAATAATCACTGATGGAACTATTTGCTTGCTTGTGAACAGAGGTCTCTACAAAGACCTAGTATGATGCAGAAGGTTTGCTGGAGATAAGCATCATGAGAGTATGGGCAGTGTGGGTGAGGGAAAGCCACCCAGGATTTGGAAATCAGTCCCCACAAAGATAATTAAATTAAAACATTTCAACTACAGTGAGAACAGCTGTATGTGGTTTGAGGAAGGAATTGAGAGGTGGTTTCAGCTATAGGACACTGCGCTCTGACCCTTCTTACCTTAAAAAAAAAATCTGATCAGGGGAGCTGCTTCAGAGGCAGCTGCTACTCTTTCCAGAAAGTTCGGCAGCCAATGTTAGTCAACTAGGCAGGTGTGAACCTGCGCACATGCTCAGTGTTTCTGCTGTTCCAGGCCTTTCCAGAACCTTCTAGAACAGCTTTTCCAGATCCATTAAAAGTAATTTTTGGATGGGGTATATGTGTGTGGATGTGTATGTGTGTGTGAGAGAGAGACAGAGAGAGTCAGAGAAAGTATGTGTATTCTCAGGTTTGATTTGCATGTTTCAACAGCTGAGCTTCTGTGTGCCTCTGAGAATATCCTATCTTATTTTAAGAATTATCATTAACATTGTTATTATGGTTTGTGATACTAGGACTTACATCTGGTTGGGAGCAAAGTTCTACTTAATTTGAAGGCTGCAATCATGCTGGGACTTACTTCATATTATCAAATACACATAAATAGGACTGCACTGTAAATGATTAGAGAATATATGAGTGAGACAGAGAAAGAGATAGAGAGACTATGAATGCCTGTGTGTTTGTGAAAGGGGTTTCTGAAGTTTTTCAAGGGCTCCCACTGGCTTTCTAGTGGATACACTCATCTTTATTATTACATATAATGGGATGCCCATACCTTCTCGTAAACAATCCAATCTTTTCTTATAAGATATGCACAATTGCAAATTTTAAACCATGCTACTTTTGTGTAGGCCTGCTCTGCTGTTGGTTTTCCAGTTTCAGTGCCCCTAAAGACTATTTTTCTGAATGACCCTGAGAATATCATGTGTTGTTTTATTTATTAATATTAACATTGTTATTATCTGTATATTCTCCGCACAATGGGAGTTGTTGCCAGAATAGATGAATGAGGGTCCAAAGGAGTACTTTTGCATAGTTGTATTTGCATTCTTTGCATTCTTATGCCTCACTTTTCTCTTTTCTGCAGTATGGATTGCTGACTGATGGGGATTCAGAAACTGTACAGGCTCTTATGCTCCACTAAGACTGTCCACCTGAAGGAATCATAACAACATCCTGTTAGCTTGGAAGAGATGGTGCTTTAAGCCTGAATTCCAAATCTTAAAAAAAAAAATCTTAATATTCAGAAAGAACAAGTTTATCAAAGCTGGCAATCTTCTACTTGTCACACAGCTGTGATTCACTGAATTATAAAGAGCTATAAGCAACTTATGAGATGGTTAGAATAATTGTGCACAGAGGATGTTTTATTTTTACAGTAAGGGAACATTAAGTTGCATTCATAACTGAACCTATCTTTCAAATCCATTCCATCATCATTTACTCACTAACAAACTGATTCTGGAATACACAAACTGAGAAGGTAAGAGAGGAGAAGACTTTTCCTTTGATGTTGCTAGTTCTCTCTTAGTTAAAGAAATGAAAATATTCCTATGTGAAGAGAAAGAGAGAGATTGTGTGTGTGTCTTAAGTATTATTCAAATAACATTAAGTTACAGGCTTCAGTTTTCTCACATATGTCTGATCATGTACCTATAGCCTCCCCACCCACACCATCTAAGCCTTTTTTATATACTACTGTTTGCCCTTCACAATCCTTTCACATGCCAAAAATGGCTGAATCCTCTTTCTTGCCAGCCAATGTAAACTTCCTTGACATCTAAGTCTGTTATTCAATTAACCACAATTGGCCCATTGGCAAGAGGCCATCACCAGCCCTCCCCTTTCATTGGCTGTAAATGTTATTAAAATGTATATGGAGGTGGAAAGAGGCTGATGCTGTGGCATTCAATATCAACCTTTGGCATTTCACCCCCTTTGACACAGCAAGGGGCTTGCTTTTAAGCTCTAAAAACTGTTCAGTAATTTGGAGGATACTGTAAGTTGTGCCTGAGACCCCAACAGGTCGTGATATGACAAGGCCTTTGGCCATATATAACAGGCCTGTCTGAGAGGTTTTTACATCCCTCTCTTAGGATGCTGTTCAGGGACCAGAAGGAATTGCTGCAGGATTCCATTCTCAAGGAAGAAGAAAATATTCTAGTAGAACTTGGAAGTGGAAGATAGTGTGGATGTGACTGGATGTGACTAAGGAGTGTGTTCAATTCACCATCTCTCTCAAGCAGCTGCATTAGTACATTATAGAAGTGGTGCTGTGAATTATAAATAAAGATGTATTTCTCTGGAATTTTATAAAGGGCACACCCTGCAATGCATTCCAACATGGTTATAATTCCTTTTGTGGATACAGACACTATTTTCTGGTGCAAGATACACCACACCTTCTCCTTAAGATTAAGAGAAATCATAATATTGTAGAGAACTCTGTTTTGGAAGCACATCCTCTTTGCAAAGTTATTTATGGCTCAGATGATCAAGTATATATGGTAGAATAATGGACTTTATGCTGAAATGGAACAAATACTTTAATGGGAGAGGATGGATTCAGTTAGCACTAACCAAAATAGGGCAGTGAAAGCCAACACCTTTTGGAGATAGGCTAGATGTAAGATTTTATGGCATTATCAGACAAAAAAGGAGCTGTGAACTAGGATAAACATAGAATAATTTAAATATTGTAATAAATATTGAATTATACATGTATATATTTTAGGGAAAAAGGGTTTTTAAAGAGTATCATATACAACATACCATAATCTCATTCCCCTCTCTTCTGTGGGAAACTTAACAGGAAAAAATGGGTGCAGAAAGAGACTCAGGTGCTAAGTCTCTTATGAAAGAATATGAGACTTAGCATGACTATGGATGGATGATTATGTATATACAACAAGCGCAAGATACTGAAAACCTAATATATTGCATTTATATCCTTTTTCCTCTTGTGAGAAGCAGCTTACATAGTCCTTCTCCACTCTATTCTCTCCTCACAACAAGAACCCTCTGAGGTAGATCAGGCTGAGAGTGAGTAATTGGCCCCAACTCACCCAGTGAGTTGCTCCAGCAGGCACTAGAACCAGATCTTCCAGGTCCCTAGTCCAGCACTGCAAAATATTTTTGTTATTCTTTAGAACAGGGGTATGCAACCCGTGGAGGGCCACTGCAACCAGTGGTGAGGGAGGATGCCTTGCAGGTTGCCCACTCCTGCTTTAGAATTATATAACAACATATATAAAGAATGAACATTACATGACTAGCCTCCACTACTGCCAGACTTCTAATCAAAATACTCTTGGGTGGTATTAACAATGCTTTAATAATCTAATTTTGCCTTATAATGAATAGGTGTAACTGGATACCTAATTAGACTTTGTACTGATCAAGTGTAGTGCATTAACACTAATACTTAAGAGAACCAGTAGATTTTTATTACAACCTCTCAGCATTCTTACCTTCCCCTCCTTTGGACATGTTAATTTCAGAATCATCTCTAACTCCACTTTGGGATTCCAGGTATGTAGCAGGGACCCAGCCTTGCTCTTCTGATGTGCTTACAAACCACCAACCTGTAAGGATAAGTAGAGACGAGTTATCTATATGAATATTTATGCATGCACGCACGCGCGCACGCACACACACACACAGAGGTGTATGCACATTCCTTGAACAATCTTCAGTTCTACAAATACTCAATCTTTGAGTATGGGTTATCCATCTGCCACCACATAGTCCACATATTCCAGGACTCAGCTGGAGCACTGAAACAGACTTGAGGGATAAGCTGTGTTAAGTCCTGGCACAAATTCCAGTGGGAGCGGGGGAGTAGAGGAAGTGAAATAGAAATGAAAAAGACAATGAGTGGGAAGGAGCTGCAAGGAAAGTGAGGAGGGAAACAAGAACTGGAATTGTGTAGAGTAGATCTGTACAGACATATCCTCTAACCATAGTTTTCTGGCACTGGAAGTGAAGACAATGTTTATATTTTTAAAGCAGCTAAAGTACTGAGACTTACATCTGTGTGGGAGCAAAGTCCTACCTCTTAATTTGAAGGCTACACTCACAGTGGTACTATTACCAAGCGAACATGTATGGGATTCCACAGTGTTTAGGGGAGGATGGGATTTAATTTGTTGCTGTTGTTACTGAATTACATTTATATCCAGCCTTTTTTTCCTCCAAGAATCCTAGGAGGGCTTTCATGAGCCTCTCCTCTCCATTTTAACCTCAGAAGAACCCTGTGAGGTGAGACTGACAGTCATCCAGTGAGTTTGATGGTCCAGTGGGGACTAGAACACATCATCCATAGCAACTGGCTGCACTGGGTCTCCAGTGTGCAAATGAAGCTCTAGTTGCTTAGTGATGAGACGCTTCTCTCTGCCTGCCTAGGATCAGAGGCAACCTGTTATTTTACTAAGCAATGAAAGTTTGGCTAGTGCCTCAGCATTCTGTCATAAAGTGATACTACAGTCCTCTACATGGTAGCAATTCAATATAACATGTAAGTGCGTATGCATTGTATTCTGTGGTTTGCCTCACTGCTTTTGTCATCTGCTTATATGTATGTTTGATCCCCAGTTTCTAGATCTGGATGGTACTGGCCCAACCATTGTTCAACAAGGTGCACTGCTGTATTTATCGCCACGTATTCATACGTAGGACCAACTCTATTTTATTATGCAAATTGTTGGAGGCTATGGGCATCTTCACATGAAGTCTTTAACCTGGTGCTTTATTGAGGCTTCTTCTGGCTTATTTGTGAGATGAATGTCCTGTTACACAAGTTTTCCCATACCAAGTTTTCCTTTCGGTCTTTATATATGCTCCCAGTAAACAACATAAGGTGGTGCTGGGATAGACAGTGGAAGCTAGATTTTATACATAGTGAAGAAACCACGACAAAAGACCGTGGCTTTCATAGAGAAAAATGGCAAATTCTGCATTATCCTTGTCCCAAAAAAAGCTGCAAAATCTAGGAGAGGCCTTGGGAGGATGATCCTACCATGTAAAGGACCAGCAGATTTCTGTGAATGAGGGATCACATGTGCACAATAAATGTTTCATGCAGAAAAGCCCTATGACCTTGATTCCTCCAAGTCTTATCATCTTTGGGCTAATTCTTCCAACACGCACATGCTCAAGACCACAGTCCTCAGGCATGTCTAAATTAAATGCTCAAAACTTCCAAAACAATTGGAAGAGAAAATGGTACTAAACAGTTAAGCAGACCAAGTCTTTTGTTCTTTAATTGCTCCAAAATGAAACACACACACACACACAAGACAAAGCAGAACAGAAGACACTAAAGTCATTGCTTGCAGCAATTCATCTTGAGCCTCAAGAGGCATAGACTTCCTTTTTCTGGCCCAAGAGAGATTTGGAAAATTTTGCTTCACAGTATTCCCAGTCAGAAAAATTTAAATTTAGTTACACTTTCACGCAGCAGGGGGAGATTCTCTCAACATGACGTTCACCCATGGCAGCCGCCTGCACTAAATAATAATAAAAAGAAAACCAATGGAGCCAGCTTATTTCGAATAGGTTTTGCATAGATAGCCTGCTGCTGAACATGAGGAATTGCTAATGGCAGGGAAGGAGAGGAGGCTCATTGAGCTGAACATGCATTTGTAATTATGGCACAGAAGTAAACAGACCAGAAGCCGATACACATCTGATCCTAATTAGATGGAAATGCTCCTATGAATTCTTCTTCAGAAGCAACGTTTGCCTGAATGGAAAGGGTTGCACTATAAAGTTAACACTCTAGTAAAAACCATGAACTCTGAAGCATTTCATTTCACCCTGAACTTTGGTTTCATGCACTACTATTCCACAGAACTGAAAAGCTGGAATAGACCTTAAGGCCATTTTCAACTCAGATCAAAGCAAACTCATATAGCTTAATCAGCCAAGCCAAACCAAGCCATTCCTTACCCATCTAGAGGAAGGCAAAGTGCCTTTGGAGTCAAAGCAAACCTGACCCATAGGAAAATTCCTTCTCAGCACTAAATAAATCGTCTGGCCCATGCAAAACTCATTTTGCAGCTTGAGGAAGAAAAAGTCAATGGTCTTCTTTGGCATCTAGCAAAAGAGTAGGCAACAACTGCTCCTGGAGCCACAGGTTGCCCTAGGCCTAATTTCAAAAGCCCTCTGCAGACAATCAATAGGTACCTCTAGCAAGAACGATCTTTCCCTTCTTTGGCAACTCACTGGGAAGAAAATGGTGGAGGGGCAGGAAGAGAGAAGTGTGAGTAAAGAAATGGAGAAAGAGAAAGGAGGTGGTGGTGGAAACAGAAAAAGGAAGGACCCACACTGGCTCTGGCCCTGTCTCCTGTTGACATCCAGGTCCTGACGGGTAATCCATGAAGGAATGCAATTGCAAACACTAAAAGCGTTGCCCATGCCAGATTTCCAACAATAAAAATGCCACAACCAAAAAACAGAATACCTCATCACCACACCATATCAGGCCCTGATCACAGCCAGCCACTCTGCTCTTCCATGCGGCAGGGAGAGATGACTTGCTACAGGCAGCATTACTGGGGAGAAGCACAGGACGGAGGAAATCAGGTAGTAGGATTTTTTTTTTTAAGTTGGCCCTAGAAGGTGTTTTTGTTTGTTTGTTTGTTTACAGCCCCTCTTACTATTTTTCTTCTATCAGGAGTGCCATTCTTATTCCACTCATATCAAATCGAGGAGAATCTCTTTTCCTTGATGTTGCCATTATCCATTAGTTCACTGACCATTAAGACCTCAGCTTGTATCTAAAGTAAGTCTGCATACATCATACACAAATTAAATCGCAAGGGTTGAATTCTTATATGTAATTTAGGACACAATCCAGTGGAAAAATGGGGAGGGAAAGAGGCTACAGCACCACTGGTTGGAATGGAGCTTTTTTCTGACCTTGGAGCTGGGAATCCAAGGAATCCAAATAGAGAAAGCTGCCAGACTTGACAATCCTGTAGTCCTTCTAGAGTATTTAAGTGTTGACAAAATGCTTCAAGCTTAATGCTTGAGATAGGATGTTGAGCAGCAAATGCATGTGTAATCAATTAAATACAAAATCAGTGTTTTTTCAAATGATGTTAAAAATAAATGCTGATGCCTGGTATAGGAAACATAATTTGAACTCTATGGCTTTAATCCTGTAAACAAAGGAGACATAACTAAATTGCTAGACTTAAATGGGTTTTATGCACACAACAGGGCACAGAAATACTGACTAACCAGTTACACATTGTGGTCTACACTCATCTGTCTTAACAGGTTACAATTTTCAACTGCAAAGGTGCAGAGAACACACAAGCTGTATTTACAGACAAGGCACTTTCTATGTACTTGGTACAAACAAACCGTTACTGAAGTTGTGAAATTCCACCCATAATTTTGAACAGACTGTTTGGAATAAACAAGGTTTCCAGTTGCAAGGAGTTCAACAGTACATGAGCAAAGAATTTGCTGAGGTGGCGTCTTTAGGTTCTGTCTCTGAGGGAGGTGTGGCCTTGAAGATTGATGCTACATCCCTTCATGGTTTTCATACAAAGGAACATGTGCAGTAATAGCTAACCATCCTGGAAGGAATGCCAGAAACCAAATTCATAAGTACGAGAGAGTAAGTGTCCCAGCCTAATCCCTTGTACAAGATGCTCACAAGTCAAGTGATTTGACACATCTCTGCCACTGATGCCAAGATGCGAAAGGATCAGCAGTGCACAGTGGAAGTGGAGACAGAAGTGCAGTCCAGACTGTGCCATATGCAGGATCGGGGATGATACCACAAACTCCCTCTGTCAGCATAATTTTGACACCCTTGTCACAAATCAGCCATCTGTGATGTAGTGATTGTCCCTGGACCATCTTTTACAGAAAGAGTCTCCAAAGATAAATCAGGACAGCTGCCTTTGCCTCCAAGCTTAAAATCTGTCTAGACTTTAGGCAAAGATTCTTACCCACATAGAGGGAGTCAAGGTTGCAGTACTATAAACCAGTATTTCCACCCTCTCCCTGACATACCTCTATCCTAGATTCTTTTCTCAGGAGACTTCATTTGTACAAACTACAATGAAACATTGTACTTATAGGGCTGTTGTCTCCCCTTCCACCTCCCCAGACGACCACTCTGTGTAGAAGTTTAGCACAATCCATTATTAAAACTTTTCTGCACCAACATCTGCAGGGTATTATGGAAAGTTCTCCCTGCATGCTGCCAAGATGTATGAGGTACAGTCTTGCTCCCAGACCACTGGCACAGGATAATATGCCTTGCTGTACCATCTCACTCCAAAGTGAGTTTGAGAACAAAGCTGATGACATGTCCTTGCTACTACAAGCATTTCCATATTTTAATTATCAGAAGATTTTAAAACATGTTTGGAGAACAAAATCAGACTTGGCTCCTGAATTTGCTGAGCCAGCTCTAGCAGTCCGGCCTAGCCATTCAGCTAGCCTGTCTGAAGATACTAAAAGAATTCAGTAATTTGCTGAACTTCTGACAAAAATATAATACATTAAATCAATGATAGCCATCTGATCCAACTCCAGATTTGTACAGAAAGAGAGGGAAGGG